AGGGGAATGACAGGGCGACTGACGAGGAGACTGAAGGGGCGACAGAGACGGGCTGAAGGCTCCAGGATGTTGGTACTTCTGCTGCCACAACTCCACACCAAAGGCTCCACCTCCACATCCTGGGGAACCGAAAGGAGACCCCAGGGGCGATCCGACCGGTGGACGCCCAGCAGCAGCAACGGCAGCAGCAGCATCGACGAGGTCTGCTTCTACGTCGTCGTGGACGTGTGAGAAGGACTCGCAAGACGAGAGGTCTGACATCCAGCTCCTGGACGACATGCTGCTGCAGGGACTCGGACACAGCACTGGGTCCCTGTAACATGGATCCAGAGGCAGGTACAGCTGGTCCCTGCTCCAGGAGGTCTCACTGTAGCCCCCATTTGCACCCCCCACTGCCAGATCTTCGGCCCCAACACAGGGCTCCACATGGTGGTTAGGAGCTATGGATGTAATCTGTATACTGGGGCAGTCAAAGGTTCTGAGGTTCCCCTGGGTTCCATGCTGGGACCCCTGGGGTTGGTAGAGCACATGTTGGTAACCATCTGTGGTGCTGAAATATGGAGGAGGATTCAACTGGTCCTGACTCACAGACTGACTGAGTGGAACATGACCTGTCAGGAGAAGAAGACGAGGTTCCTCAAACCACTAGTGCAGCGACAGAAGAACCATGGGTATGAAATATCTCTCAAACACACATGCACACACACACACACAAAAACCCTCCCCTGGGTCAGAAAAGAAGGAACTGGCGGCATCTGGGCCACACAGAGCGGAAAGCAGGAAGTTAAAAAAAACCACAACTAGACTTAAAATAGAAATTAAACTAAGGGGAAATTACAATCAACAACATTCTCAGAAACATAGATCAAAGGTAAAGTGATACCACAGAAATACCCTCAATTAGCTCCATTAGCCAACAAACTACTATCTCAATGGCAAATAGAAAAACAATACAAAAAAAACAACCAAAAGACGACAGACAACACAAGACACAAAACTTTAAGTACCCTAGATGAACACTAGATGGCAGAATTATTGCCCAGAAACACAAATGCTAAACTAAGTACAGCTAAAGGGGTGTCTGAGTTTAACTGTTGTCATCGGCCGAGTGCGACGACAGGACCGCGCCCCGCACCATGCACCCATTTTACGGGTAGTGTGATTTTATCTTGGGAATGGACGCGGCCTGACTTCCGGTTTTGCTCTCTAACTACCGTTAACTTGTCAGAGCCGACAACTCGCTGTTACTGTCGCCACGTACCTGTTGAGTGTCCGCCGCTCCCGTATTCTTCTTCCCGCTTCTGCTCCTCTTCCTCCTCAAAGCTCAGTCTGAAGTCCAGCTCCTCTGGGCATTTCACCGCTGCGGACATTTGTCCGCAGAGACGCCGAGAGTCGTCACCGAAACCCCGCCTGTGTCTGTCCCTGGTTCCGTGTCTCAGTGAGACCAAAAACACAAGTCAACTGTGTCTCAACCGAAGCCAGAACAACAACAGTAACAACAACAAACCCTCCGTCGACGGATCCGGGACGATAAAGTTCAAATCAGCCGCGTGTTGACGGTTTAAGAACGCGCAAAACTCTGTTAATAAAGTAAACACCAAAGCGTGATAATGGCGTGAACTTGTTTCTCCTCTTCGGTGTTTCTACTCTGCTCCTGTCTGATCCTCATGGTGCGTTCAGGGACATTGAAAAGACTGTGCTATTGTAATTTGCGCTTCGAATTAGTGTTGTAGCAGCATAGGACTTGAACAAATCGATAATAATATTTAAGGAGATATAAAAATAAATACATTTAATTGAAAAAATGAAGAAGCTAAATGTTTGTAACTTTTTAAAACGTAACCGAAATGCAAACGTCTAAGTATTAAAACTGAAACACGTCATATTTTCAGATTGATGTACTTAATATCAACGTGGAGAAAAATACTTTAACAGTTTCCCCAGCAATACAACGACTTCCAGCAACTTCTACTTTTTTATATGTTTAACACGCTAATTAAATTAATAATTAAATCGTGTTGTCGACACTAATTTAAAATGTCTCACAATAACATTTTCTGTTTTTCAGTTTGGAACGTTTTTGAATAAAGGTCTGGTCCTAAAACCAACTACAACTTGGAAAACTCAACTTTCTCTTTATTTGTACATTTACATTTCAAGACTTGAGCAAAGTTGTCGGTTCCTCAACTCATGCTTGTTAATACCATACTGTCCAAAACACCTGAAGGCATCATGATTAGGCAGAGTGATGACGTCGAAGGCTGGCATATCCCTCTGTGGGGTTGACTTTGGGATTGAAGACAGAAACAATCCAATTTACACTGACCTCTCAATCGAAAATTTAAAGACCTACAATTTGGAGACAAATTCAAAAATAACTAAAATTTCCATTTTTGAAAATATTCAGTTTTCAGCAGAAAATAATGTTCGATGATGTGTTCGGGAGCCACTGCCCTGAACAAAGTTTTAAAAAAAGAAATGGTAAAAAAGAAGCAGCTGAAGGTTTGTGTTAAGACAGCAAGACTTCCTGACGGAGCTACGGCAGCTCAGGAGAAATGTCACCTGGTTCTCCACCTGGTGCATGTTTACCATTTGAAACCACAGGAGTTTCCATGTTTTTTGCTGAACGTCACCTGGTTCTGCATGTTTACCATTTGGAACCACAGGAGTTTCCATGTTTTTTGCTTCTTGCTTTACATCCATTTCTATCAGGCGTTTCTTGCTCTGTTCCTTCTCTGTGGCACCGTTTAAAATCCTTTCCCTTTTCCTCTTACAGACCAGACCAGAGTCCTCCTCCCCGACACGCCCCTCAGGGACCCCCAGGATTCTCAGGCAGACAATGGCAGCTGCCTGCTCTGCAAATTTCTTTGACTTCTCCCTAGAAAAAAAAGAGTCGGAGATGTAACAAAACGATAGCGAACGTGCTGGTCCACTACTGCCTCCTGTGGTCAGTTTAGGTCATTGAACTAAATCTAAGCATGGGATTTTAAACAGCAAAGAACTATTTTCAACCAGTGCCCTCAGGGTTTCCACACCGGAAATCTTTCCTGATGCAAACCAACCTAGGATTTAGGACTAAGTGAAGAGGAGTTAGAAAAACTTCTGCTGCTAATCAAGGCGTGTGCGTGTGTGTGTACTGACCACTGCGATGATCTATATTTCTTTCCTGCTACAGTCACTGTGGACTGGAAGCTTCGGTCCTGTGAACGCTGCACCTGTGAATGAACACGCAGACATTAGACCTTCATCATGTCAGACTTATTAGTACTGATAAGTTTTCATATAGATCACTCAATAATCCCAAATTCATTTATTCAATAATCCCACTGACAATTTACAGACTAGCGTCGACCTCAGGCCGTTGACTCTCACAGAACTACGGTACAAATTGCGTCCGTTTTCAGCTCAACAGAACACACGTTTCTGTTTCTAAATACAGAAGATTTTGGTCTTCCTTACTGTGTGATAAAGCGGCTGCTCCACCTTCTCCCTACGACTCCACTCCAGCAGACACATCTTTGGTGTGATCTGAGGAGGATAGAACCTCCTGTAACACACACACACACACACACCCACACACACACACACACACACCCACACACACACACACACACAACAAACAATAATCAGCCATTTGTATAATTAGTCAAATATGACTTTGTTTACAGCAACAAGAAGCTCCACTCTGACCAAACATCGTTCTCCTGACCTTTCAAACTTGACAGCCATGGTGGTGACGTCTCCGTCCATGACTGGACAATCAGACGGGTCTCCACCCTGCAGGGCGTCTCTCCTGCTCTGCAGCTGCTCCTGGATCTGCTGGTGGAACTCACTCAGGCCGTACGCGTCGCTGTAACACCATGGCGACAGTCAGGTGACCAGAGCCACGCTCAGCATCTGTCCATGTGAGCGATGGAAGAAAGTTCTGTACCTGATCTCAGCGTTGGTCTGAGCCGCCTGCACCCGCTTCCCCAGAGGAGACTCCACCTTGTCTCTCAGCATCTGACACAGACAGTACTTGGTGTTGAAGGCGTGGTTGTCGTACTGGACGGCCTGAGAGACAGAGACACAGAGAGACAGAGACACAGTCGTGTGATATTTTTGGCTAATCTTTAGCTTTTTTTACCCTACCATTTAGCACTCTGCTAGTTTTGCTAAGTCACACTGAGGATATTTTTCTGGTTCACATGTATGAATGTGTTCATCTGCTCCACGTCACGTGTTTGTCATGATGGTCAGACTCACATACTTCAGATATTCCTCCATGACTGTCTCCACAGGAAGTGGACCTCCGCTGTTGAACACTGACGGGTTCCACATGGCGGCGCGGGCCAACATGACGGAGGAGGCGCCGGTCAATCTCCTGAACTCTGCAATGTCGGCGTGTGTCTTCACCAGATCCAGAGAACCTCCACTGCAGAACAAGTGTGTAGGTGTAGGTGTGTGTGTGTGTGTGTGTGTGTGTGTGAGACAGGAATCCAATTGTCATGTCATTAACAGGTAACCAGGTCAGGTCTTACTTGGCGATGACTGGGATGGAAACAGCCTGAGCTACAGCCTGGATGTAGTCGCAGTGGATGGGATGACGGGGGCGCTCTTCCTTAAACCTGCAGATTAACACACAATATCCATAATAGTTACATTTGTTAGTTAAACTTCAACTGAGAATGAATGAAGAGCCAGCAGTTCACCTGCCATGAACCCCGATGGCAGTGACCCCCGTCTTTTCAATCCTCTGGACCAGACTGATGGTTTCCTGCAACTGAGAGCAGAGACAAAGCAGATTAAAGTCTGCTGCCCTCTGGTGTTTGAGTTAAGATCAAGTCGAGTCTCCTGCAGCATTTTCTTCTGGAGACAAAGACTCTGACCAGACTGTCTGAAGAGTTTGAAGATCGGTCTCACCGAGGGCAGGATTCGGATTTTGCAGGTGACAGGAATGGAAACACCGTTGACCAGTTTGGTGAGGATCTGCAGACGACACACACACACAGACACACACACGTTTGTCATGTTCAGTCTCTCACCATCATCTTGGTGTTCTGTGTGATGTGGAGACACTCACTGCTTCAATCCTGTCAGGATTCGAGAGGAGAGCAGCTCCCATCCCTCCCTGCAGGACGGCAAACGACAAACTTAGAGGTCAGAGGTCAGAGGGTGAGCAGGCATGTAGGGTAGGTCACTCACCTTTGTAGAGTATTCTTTTGGACAGCCCATGTTGACGTCCACTGCAGCTACGTCCTTCTCTCTGCACAACAACCCACACAGTCTTTGTCTTTGGTCTCGTTTCTGACTTAATCTTTTATTTTCTTTGTTCCTGCACTAGACCAGTGATTCCCAACCACTGGGTCGTGGCACACTAGTGTCCCGTGAAAAGATATTATTTATTGCAAATATTTTTCTTTGTTTGACAGGCAGAACAACTAAATCCTCTTCCACTAGGTGGCAGGCGATGGTTATTAAAACTAAAAACAATCATCAGAGCTGTTAAAGATCTTTGTGAGTGTCTTTCTTCAATTCCTGCCAGTATATCAGAGTTGTCTTCAACTAAACAGGAGTACATTTGTAGTACATTTAAACTAGAAGATTATTATATTTCATTGAATTTACTTTTGGACAGATTCTTGTTTGGTGATGTGTTGTGGTTCAGAAAAGGTTGGAAAACACTGCACTAACAGACAGACAGATGTACAGACAGACTCAGTTGTGTGTCTGTAGAAACTCACACGAGTCGGGCCACACTCAGCGCTCGGTCCGGGTCAGCAGTTCCCTAAAGGGAAGAAAACTCTGTGAACTCAGAGACAAGGTTTCTTTGGTTGTTGCTGGTCATCGTTGTCATGTTGATGGTTAAAGCTTGAACACCTGGTCATGGATGTCATGTGATGATGTTGTTGTTGTGTGGATGAGTGTACGGACGTCGTGTGATGTTGTTGTTGTGTGGATGAGTGTAAAGCACAGAGGTGTAAACATTGAGCGCTGTTACTGAAACCTGCGCCTGTTCTCCGTTCATGGATCTCAGGTTGTCAGGTGTGTCACCGTGCAGCAGGAGTCATCGTACCATCTGGAACACCACGCGGTCCTTCTCCCTCTCACAGGTCCTGAACATGACTCGTTCGTCTGGAGCGACAAAGTCCACCGTCTGCAGCACCTCTGACCACAAACACCACAAAAAGAAAGTCTTTGACTTAAACATCATCTGTTCAGCAGCACATTCAAACCACACCCTGATGAAAAAAAACGCAAAGGCAGTTGGAGCATGAAGAAGGAGGAAGTGGTGACCCACCGTTGACCACCCTCTGACACTGGACCATTTTAATGTCGATCAGCTCCTGCAACACACAGAGCTCTGATGTAGTTACATGTCCATGTCCCTGTTACAGTCTTCATCCATCCATCCATACCTCACAGTAGACCACATCAGCTCCATGGTCCAGAGCCAGAAGTCTCATTGGCAGAGTGCCCACCCGGACCATGGGAGCCAGAGCCGTGATGTTGGAAAAGCTCAGCCTGCGTTCAGCTGCTGCTACTGCTGCCATGGCGGCCTGTGAACTTACACACACACACGCAGACTTTGGTTATTAATTGTACTACATTCTTCTCTCTCTAAACTTCGCCCGGAAGTGTGTTAATTACAGTCATTTTCTGCTTGTCAGACTTCAGCTTAGAACATTCTTAATAAACCGGTTTCTTTCGATCAGCGTCTTGAAATTTGTCATCATTTAAAAAAAGTTTAATTTTGGAAAAAAAATATATTTGGAAATAAATGAAAATATATATATATATATATATAATATTTCACCACCGTTTTCTTGTGGTTCTCGATTGGCCAATTGCTACAATAAGTTTAATCTGTTTGCGGGAATCATTTTCTGACGTGAAAACATGAAAGTCACAGTGAGGACCAATGGAAAAAAGATGAAATCAGTGACTCGGTCACAAGACGGTTCGATCATAAGGATGGATCGGCAAAACGACTCATGTGACAAGTACAGATACAATCCATGAAACACGACTGTGTCGTTCTGGTGAGGCCACGTCGAACAGCTACAGTTGGTCAGTAATAACACGGTAACCCGTAGACCAGGTGAAGTTATCCGCTATCACCATCGATTGTTGGTCAAACTATGGCTTGTTCTTTGACTGAGTCTCTTACATAGTGTAATTTCGCGGAACCAATTGATTTGTTGTTGAATTTCTTCACGCTGCTACTGTTGTTACTTTTCTTTTCCTGGAATCGAACACAGTTTAAGACCAGTCTCGGTACAAACTAACTTATTATCGCTCATTGTTTAGGAAAACACTTATCACACTTATTATCGCTCATTGTTTAGGAAAACCTCTGAATATTCCACTCACCAACATCGACGTTCTACTTATGACGAAAGCCGAAGCGTGTGGTCCAAGCGCATGTTCTATTTGGACTTCCTGTTTACGCTCTGCGTCATCACGTCAACGAGTGACGTTACTGCACGTAGAGGAAAAAAAAGCTGGAAAAAAAGACCCAGTAGAAACAGGATATTCACTCTTTTCCATCGAACGTTTACTTTACATGATTTCATAAAGTTAAAAACAAAATCTTAATCTTACTCTGTTGTTATTGTCAGAAGGACCCGGCGTCGAATGATGAGTTTTTAAATAAATTATTTGTTGACTACGTTTCTCATTCATTTTGGAAAGTCACGGGAAGGAAACGGTGTTCCCATCTGACAGTTTTGACAGGACGTGTTCAACTTTGGTTCTAACGTGAGGTCCATGATTGAGGACACAAGAACAGTTTCATATGAACGCCATTTCGGTACCAGGCACCAGCGTTACATAACGCCATTTATACAGCAAATAAATACCGCGAAACAGCGGGTTGTATCACATTTGTTCCACATTACCCGTTGTCACGGTACAAACGTTAGTGTGTGTGTTTGTGTGTGTGCGTCAGTGTAGCTGTGGGATCTCAGCTAGTATATCAGACAAGGTCATTTAATGATGTCACTTCCGGTTGATTGGACCCACCCGGGTGGGTCGTATGGCCTGCAGTGGATCATGAATAAAGGACAAAACTCACTCATGGCGGTATCAACATACAACAACAATTACATTGTTTAGCCACAAGGGGGAGGCTGATTTTAAAAAAGTTTCATTAGGAGTTTATTTTATAGTCTTAGCTTCTTTTTTAGAGGACAATAGATATTTAAACACCACAGGGGAAAATATGCACAGGCTTGATTGACTCCTAAAATCGACCACTAGGAGGCAGACTTCAGATATATATATATTTATATATATATAATATATATTTTTATATATATATCTGAAGTCTGCCTCCTACTGGAACCTAATAAAGTCTAACAGTTGAACAACAGTTTGTACTGAAAGGAAGGCTTTCACACACACACACACACTGGTGAATTCCAACACTCAGGATGATGTCCTTGATGGACAGGAAGTGGTTCATGTTCAGCCGGTCGTCACTCTTCAACCTCTGTTTGTTGTTAACAGTGAAACAGTGAGTGTTAGCTGAGAATCTGCCTCTGACAGTAACACACAGTCATGAGACGACAGCGACACCAGGCTGCCAGAGTGGGCATGTGTAGAACTGATCTTGGTCCAGATGTTTTGAACAGTGTGAAAAGTTGACCCCTTGACCTGATGTGAGTGCATGTGAAAAGGCACCAGAACACAACAGCAACACCTAGCTGTCAGACCAGCAGGGTCCAGAAGCCACGTGTGCCACAGGACGGCAGAGGTCTCTCACAGTGTGGTTCTGTCTGGACTAGAAGACAAAAAAGAGGAGAAAAGCAGCATCCATGCTCAGGAGAAATCTCAGGAGGTTTGGGATCTAACCGAGGACCGATGATCCCAAAGCAGAAACAGTGACGGTCCTCGACCACAGGATGGAAGAGCTTCACATGTTCACAACAGTTCTAAGAACGGCCAGAGAAAGTGCCTGTGCTGGGTGAATGGTCAGTCCACCCTGGAGGGTTGGCGACCTCTACAGGGTCAATCTGGGGAAAGACCACGAAACACAACCTCTGTCCCAGGTAGGTGGCCTTTTCTGTGGAGGAAACAAGACGGGTGGTGAACAACGACAGACTGACCTGTCGTCATGGAGACAGGATGACCTCCAGTCAACTCACCAATGAAGCTGTAGATACACTTTGGTTTTTCTCTCCAGTGGACACCCAGAAAGTAGACTGGTACACCAGTCAACATGATGACCAGACCCACTCCACAGACCACGGGCTCTGAGTACAGACTGAAGGCCAGCAGCAGAGCCCAGAACATCAGGTAACCCACAGGAACCAGCAGGTTCACCTGGAGGACGTTTTCACAGAACAAGCTTTTTTTTGTGTCTTTGCTGGTTCTAAGCTGCGGTTTCTAGTAGGAAATGCAGTGTGAACGGTACCTTGATGGGTCGGTAAAGGTCAGGTTTCTTCCAGCGGTAGAAGAGCAGGCCTGCGATGGTGACCCCGTAGGACAGGTAGTTGATGAAGGAGACGTAGTTGATCAGGTTGTGCGTTTCTCCGATGCAGAGAATGACGATGGTGGCGGTGCACTGAGGAAAGACCACCAGACCAGAATCAGAAGCTCTACTCCAATCACAGCCCGACACTCAAAGAAAACCAGGAGGAATGAAGAAACCCTTCTATCTAACCGACTCCCCGCTGAGTCTGAGCTCCTCAGATGTTTCAGTCTCCAACAAACTGGATTCTGGTTCTACTGGTCTCTATCACTAACCACAGATTGATCTGGAT